CCATGAAACTTTCACTTTTGACTGACGTCCAACCATCAGTTGTCAAGCACACGGCAAAAGATTTCGTTTTGTCGTTTTACGTTCATTGGGTGCACGATTTTCAGTGGTGAACGATGTAGTTCACCTTTTAGTGAACTAAGTCCAATTGTTCACTTGTGTGAATTGAAGTAGTTCGTTCGCGAACTATCAATCTCTATGGTGCAGTATAGTTTTCTTGCACTCGTCTATGGCTTAAATATACTATAATGTGTGTATTACCATGCACTCGCCGATGAGTTGTTTACTCGTATGATTCGTACATACAATTAATGGATATATGGTAACATCACGACCCGTCCCACGTAAGCACACCGTGCGCCAATCGTGTTTAGTCCAACGCGACTTCGTCCCCCGGAGCTGTTCGTATATTCAGTTTAGAGTCTTCGTTATAGAAATGTATGAGGTGTTTATTGTCCATGTAATTTTCACCATCGATGAAATTATGTTTGAAAAACATATTTCTAGTTGATTTTAGCAAATGCGGTGGGTCAAACATATAAATAACCTTTTGTTCATTGACATAAAAATAAGGTCGTGATGAACTGACAAACACCTTTTTGCTGAAATTCAGGAAATTGGAGCCTTGGTCAGTTATAAATGCTTTGACATTCAAAGAAATATTTTGAAGTTTAGCAATAGTAGACATAATAATGTTATGTAAGTCATTTCCAGTACAACTGCCAGATAGGTACCAAAAAATATGCCATAGGTTGTTTCTATTGAACATTAATTCCACAAATCATCAACACAAATGCAAATTTAGCCGGATCATAAGTTTTTGTTGAATTTGTTTGATGGAATCCGATAATTTAATCCTTCCTAAATGAATAAAATTAATGTGTTTTAAGTGCCATTTCATCAGCGCATAGAGTGCAATGAAGTGCTTCTGGTTTAAAATTTAAAACTTTATACTTTAAAACTTCAAATAAAAAGTCATTCAGTCCAGGATTCAACTCATATTTACTCATAACTCTTCTTAAAGTTCTTGGTACTGGAAGTAATAGAGTAGGTCTCAAGAAACGGTATACAGCTGGTCCTAAAAGTATATCATCAGTGCAAATTGTTTCAATTCATCTGAGTACCTGTAACCATTTGGACGTTTTTTCTGACAACGAATATGTGATTTAACAATGGTTAACAACCTTGGAGATAAGAATTTTAAATTTTGACTTCCCCAATGCACCAACGATATTCAATTTCCAATCGAACAAGATACTGAAGTCGAAAATCGAAGCATTATTTCGACTACTTATCGTGTACACAGACACAAAAAAAAAAATTAAAAAAAAAACACACATCATTGTAAAATCAATACATTCGTCGTTTTACTCAGAATCTAAAATTGAAATATTATAACTTGTACAGTAGACATATTATATATATTTGTACTATTAAACTTTACAAAAAATATTTATATCATTATATTTATATTATATCATAGAAAAACATCATTATTTATAGTTATTAATGTACAACATGAATAATAATAAAAACACAAATTAACATGATTAACTACTAATTTAACAAAAAGATACAATATATAAACATAATTAAAGGAATAATATACAACATTTAACTATAAGGCATAGAAAAATAAATAATTTAATTATTGATGTGAAAATAATATTTGTTTAGTTAGTGTATGACGCTTGCTATGTGAATTTAAGATAGTAGAAGAAAACATTTTTCCATAAGATTTGAGACGGATACTTAAAAATCTGTTAGCAATTAAAGTAATAAGTACAATTTTGTGTGGTCTATCTAATATGGAAGTATTTTCACAATTTAAGTCCTGAAAAATGTTGCGATCAGAAGAAAATTTATTAATGATTTGACGTAGTATTATAATATTTAAGTTGGGAAAATTTAATCTTTTTAAATTGTGAGTATAATATAAAAATAATTTTTCAGTTTCTACAATAGTTTTAAATGCATCTTTAGACCCTGATATTAAACCCCCTTTGTTTTTTAAATTTAGAAATTGAGAAACAGATGAATTACAACTCAAATTATTTACAATTCCCCTGATGATATATCCTAGTATATAATATATAATATTATTTTTGGCTTCTGCTAATGACGTATTTAAAGTATTTAGTAGTACTAATCTGTTACAAATGTCCTCATCCAATTCTTCATTACACGTTATCGCATCAATATTTTATTGCCTTCTGTACCATTTAAACTCAAAAATTCCTCCTGAAATATCGTCATCAAATATGTTACAGTTTCCATTAGACTTACACTTAATATAGTTTTTAAATAAAATTTGTTTTATAGCTGTCTTAAATTGTACCACATTAGGGTTATTTGATCAATAGCGTTGTCTAATTTGGGCAAAGAATATCTCAAGATGGTCCTGAGAAAATTTATAAGTTAAAATATAATTCATATATAATGATGAATAATGTTCTGAAAATATTGTTTCTGCTATACTGAAAACTGATTTAACAGCAATAGCAAATCCAATTATAAAAGTTTTTTTTGTTTGATTTATGTAAGGGGTATTATTAAATTTTAAAGAATACAGATATTTAATTAAGGGGATTATAATAGTTTTAAAAGAGCTAATATTATTAATAAAAATTAGAGATTTTAAAACCTTTTGAAAATTAACTTTTCGAATTAAGAAAATCAAAAACTCTGTCAACAACTCGACAGTACTCAACAGTTGCTTCAACATCAGCAAAACCAGTTAAATTAATTTTGTTGAAATATTCTAAAGCATCAGTTGTAGAATAACTTAACGTTTGAGCAGCGTATTTTACCTTCATCTTATTACTATAATAATGAACATGAGCTGCACTAATTTTATTGCTAAATTTAAAAGTTATGTAATTTTGTACACTATTTAAATATAAAATATGTGCCCATTTCAAATTTCCTTTATTCGATTCAATGAATTTACAATTTCCTAATGTATTCCTCGCTAATTTTAAATTATGACAGGCATCTGGTATATAGTATACTTTTTGATTATTTACTGGGTGAGAAAACCAGCATTTTAATTCTTCGTAACCACCATCCACCACACATCCTAAATTTTTCATTGTTGATATATTGGTATATGCTCCATCACAAACTACACCAAAAACTTTAAGACCGGCATTATGTGTTAGAGTTATGGTTGTTTTAACTAATTCAGCTTGACTAATAGCAGATATTTTATTTTGAAAAAAATAACCAATACGTAATTTCCATTTGCTATTAATACTAATAGCCATAAACACTAACACTAACACTAACACTAAACACTAACACTTCTGTAGCTGGAGTTTCATTACCTTCAATATCTAAATTGTTTCCGAAGTCGCAATATCCTAAAAACTTGTTATTTTTATCATTCCAAATGATTTGTTTTCTGATAGACATGGCATCAAATGCAATAGTACAATGCTTATCATTTTCATTCAATGTTTGTAGAGAATTCAGTACTTCTTGTAAAAAATCCATGTTCGCCATTTAATGAAGATGTCCAGTTTCTAATAGATTTTGCATGAGGGAGTATTATTGATATGAGTATTGAGTATATTGACCTGTAAATATTATAAATATCTTAATTATCAGTATTATTTAGTAAATACTGTAGTAAATGCATTAGGAAAAGAACTAATAAGAACTAGTTAAACCGTGCATACTCATAAGCTTTAGGAGAGTAGTAATTTAATGTAAGCGAAAATGAATTTATAGTCTTACTATAACGTCTACCATTTTGGTCGATAAATTGATTTTTCTGAATGTTAGACGAATTTGGCGGACTCTCAACAATTATTTTCCATAAGTTCTTCAGATTTTCGTCCAACAGCTTTTATCCACTTAGCATTGCGCTCAGGATTTCGTAATGGAAATCTGTAAAAGAGCAATTGTCTGTGATTAATAGTTGCAACAACGTAATTTATTTTAATATAAGAAGTACTTACGTAAAAAAATGATTTTTAGTGCCTTTTGTTTATCTGTTTACACAGCCATGTGCAGAACACGATGCTACCATATTTGAATAAATATAAAAAGTAGGTATTAAAGTTTATTAAAATATTTATAACTCATAAAGCCATAACATTACAAATTCATGCGTACCGAAAATTACGGTTTCACAAAAACAAGACAACGAGTAAAAGCATATGAAATTTTGAAATGTTTGTGCCATTTGTGGTTATTATGAATTATGCTATATTATTATGATAAGGTGTATAATGTAAACATTGCCAGCCTCGCATATGGCGGATTTGCTTCAATATTAAGATCGAGTCGGCTATCTAGTAGTTTTATATATCTACTATGGTTTAAAAACCACGATTTAAGGTGGGTTCACACTTACACCGTGTCGTGTAGTATCGTGTTGTATCTAGTTTTTATGATCGTGTGATCACATTTATCACGTTCATCATCGTTTCGTGGGTTTTATACCAAAATGCAATACCAACGATACCAAAATTATTATCAATTCCAGTGATAACGTTTTAAATTTAAAAATAAATTCAAAATAATTATCACATCAATATTATACATATTGAATATTCATATTAGTCACGGTTGTTATATATTATATTATTTAGAAGTCTACGTAAATTCTTAACTTCAGTTTCAGTGCCATGATAACGTCGCTGGTACTTAACGAAAATTGTACAACTATAATGTTCATGAATATAATAAAGAAATGCACAAAAGAAAAGTTTGCATTAATTCATTATTTATGAATATTGTTGAAGAAAATTTATATGAAATAGATAAAAAGTAATTAGAAATTTTTAGGTGTACTTAAGAATTTGAATAAATATATTATAAAAGGAAAATGGGGTGATCATTCTAAAAATACCCTGAATACAATGTACTCACCATAATTTTTTTGTAGATGGTATGTCAGGCCTTTGCTACGAGAACGTATTGACCATAGTCATTTTAACACTATGATTAATTAACATAGGCTATCAAATTCAGACCTATTTTTTAATTTTAGCAGAATGTCACCAACTAAATATGAAGAACTGGTTATTTTAATGGCCCCATATCTACAAAGAATTCACTCAAGACCTGATATTCTATCAGTTGGAGAAATTTTAGCAGCTACGTTAAGGTTAGTTTTTGTACAATATTTATGTAAATATCTGATATCAAATAATTCATTAAATAGATACTTAGCTGCTAGTGAAAGCATGACTGACAGAATGTTTAATTTTCGAATTGGCAAATCCACTGTTTCAAAAATAATTTTAGAATGCTGCAATTGTTTGTGGGATGTAAGCTTTGATTATAGTAATAAATAAACATAGGCAAGTACCTAAATAAATTTTGTACTAAACTATTTATATTTTTAGGTATTATTTACACCCACTGAAAAAATTGAAAGAGTTTTTTGATAAATGGCAAATGCCCAATTGTGTAGGAGCGTTAGACGGAAAACACGTTGTACATCAAGTATGCATGTATGCATGTACAGCTGGTACTGTCGCGTCTGGAGACAAGGAAAAAAGCGTAGTGCCTATTGAAAATAAATTGCGCTGTTGGAATTGTCAAAAGACAGGGCACAGCCGACGTGATTGTCCTTCGCCTCGACGCAATGGTGATAAGTGCGCCTCATGTCACTGGTTCGGCGGTAAACACCACAAATCCTGTACGGTAAAAGATAAAGAAGAGGGAAAGTCAAACGCGGACAACAGCACAATGTGTACGTCAATAGGACCTGATCGACGCAGTGGTGGCACCTTGCATGAAAAACAAGTATATTTAAATGGTGTGCACGCCATGACCGGTCTTATTGATTCTGGTTCATCGGTATGCATTTTACGAGAAAGTGCTGGACGCCGATGCGGTTTAATTTGGGAGCCTGACAACACGACAATTGTGGGATTTGGCGCGAACGCTCAGACCACTACGATCGGAAAAACTGTAGTCAGCCTGAGCATCGACGAAGCAACTCTCGCGGCAGCCGTTATATATATAGTACCTGACACCAGCCACCAACTTGATCTATTGATCGGTCGACCGTGGTGTGAAGCGCCAGAGATTTCTTACATTAAACATGGAGACTCACTTACCTATTATAATACCATTTCATTTCCATTCACTCAGGCGGCTTCAAACGAAAGCTGCTCAGCTGAGGGTGCGTTGGTTGTATGCGACACCAAACGCATAGAAGCCAATTGCGTGGATGTAGTGACAGCAATGGTGAATGAGGTCCAGATACAGGTACCTGTGAAAAACGACTCCGAACACGCTGTGGAAGTGCAAGCTAATGACATACTCGCCAGACGGGCAGTAGTAGCACAATTTCCGCAGGTGAAAGCGGAGCCGCTTAACCGCCCACTTACGTACGACGACATCCGGAAACCGGAGTGTTTGAACACAGAGCAACAAACCGAGTTACTCAACCTCGTAAACGAGTACAGGAGCTGCTTTGCATTAAATATGAGCGAATTAGGGTGCACTGACCTAGGCACCATGGATATCACCATCAAACCAGGGAGCGAACCGTTTGCCGCCAAGCCATACCGTGTATCTAGGAACGAGAGGGAAGAAATCCAACGTCACGTCCAGGTATGGAAAGATCACGGTATTGTCGAAGATTCGACTTCAGCCTATGCTGCGCCGGTACTTCTAGTGCGTAAGAAGTCAGGGGAGTCGAGGTTAGTCGTGGACTATCGACGGTTAAACGATCAAACAGTGAAACAGGTCTACCCCCTACCAAACATTGATGACTTATTGGAACAAATGGCAGGTTACCGAATGTTTACCGTATTAGACCTGGCCCACGCCTACTTGCAAATTCCATTGACTGACGCTGCGAAACCATTGACTAGCTTCATCACACCAGATGGAACAGGTCAATTTACTCGCATGGTATTCGGGTTGAAAAATGCCCCGTTTGAATTTACCAAGGTGATGGACCGAGCTATAGGACGATTGAAGAATCGAATAGTCATAAATTACTTCGATGACTACTTCATTCCTGCCAGGGACTGGGAGGAAATGAAGGAACGCCTACGTCAAGTTCTAGAAGCACTCGTTGCCGCGAAGCTAACATTACGGCCAACCAAATGTATATTTGCTGCGAAAAGTATAGAATGTCTGGGCTTCGAATTATCAGCTGATGGAGTACGTCCCGGAGTAGTGAAACTGAGGGCAATTGAAGAGTTCCCAAAACCCAAAAACGAACATGAAGTTCGTCGCTTCATGGGTCTAGCTAGTTTCTTTCGACGCTTCGTACCGAAATTTGCAGAAAAGGCACGACCAATTACTGAACTGACAAGGAAAGAAACAAAGTTCAAATGGGGACCAGAACAACAGAGTGCATTTGAACAGATTAAGTTAGATTTACTTAGTGAACCAGTACTGCAATTGTTTGATGCTACCAGGCCGACTGAGTTACATACAGATGCATCTTGTAACGGACTGGCAGGCATGCTGTTGCAGAGAGACGAGTCTGGAGAGCTACGTCTAGTGCACTGCTACAGTAAAAAAACCAGTGAGACGGAACGTCGCTACCACTCAAGTAAGCTGGAGCTCATGGCGATCGTGTGGACCCTTGACAGGATGCGCTCTTGGCTAATTGGGGTACACGTCATTATCATTACTGATTGTCAAGCACTTGTCTACATGAATAGTCTTAAGTCGACCAACTCTCAGATAACTCGTTGGTTTGACCTGATCCAAGAATTTGACGTGGAGGTGAGACATCGTGCCGGGACAGCTATGTCACATGTGGACGCTCTCAGTCGAGCCCCTACTGAAGACAGCTCAGATACATTGGACGACCTGATCACTGAACGATTGGAAGTATGTGTAGCTGTAACTGAAGAAGAGTATGTCAAAGGGATGCAGTACAGTGATCCAGAACTACGAGAGATCATTGAATCTCTAAAACAGGCGACAGCTAGTAAAATAACAACCCAAAATTATAAATTAATTAATGGTTTATTGTATAGATTGGTGCAGTCAGCAACAGGACCCCGAAAGCTCTGGATGGTTCCTAAGAGAATGAGGAAAAGTCTAGTGGTCAAATTCCACGACCTCAGCGGGCACTTTGCCGTCGAACGCACTGTCTCCAGGATGATGGAGCGCTATTATTTTCCACGTATGAGAAGATACGTAAAAGCTCATATCAATATGTGTCCAGAGTGTGCAATATATAAGAAGTTGCGAGGGAGACAAGCGGGCATGCTACACCCTATAACTCCTGGTAATCGCCCTTTTGAAACAGTCAACATAGATCACCTGGGACCATTTCCAGTAAGTTCTAAGGGAAATGCTTATATTTTAGTGCTGGTAGACAACTTAACAAAGTTTGTTAAGTTGTATCCATCAAAAACAATACAATCAAGAGTAGTAGTAGGACAGCTGAAAACATTTGCGTTGACCTATGGACTACCTAAGCGGATCGTAACAGACCGAGGAACAGCTTTCCAGTCAGAATGTTTCAACCAGTATTGTGAAACCAATGGTATAGAACACCATGCGGTATCAGTACGCCACCCCCGTGCAAATGGTCAGGTAGAGCGGGTTAATTCTACACTATTAGGAGCAATTACCACCCAAATGGGCGATGAAGCCACCTGGGATAAAAACCTTAGTGAGTTAGAATTGAACTTGAACACCGCACCGAACCAAACCACTGGAGTAAGTCCATTCTTTGCTGTATATGGTTATGATGCACTTAAAACAGATGGGCTACTCGATACACTGACAAACACAACTCCTGTATACCAGCAACCAGCAGCTACACAGCAGAAGTTGCGCGAGGACATTGCAGAAAAACAGGCAACATGGAAATTGAGACATGACCAGCACCGTAAACATATGTCACTGGAACTGGGAGAAATAGTGTACCTTAGAAGACCACCAGTGTCGACTGGAAGCTCAACAAAACTACAACCAAAGTTCAGAGGACCGATGGTCGTGACAGCAGTGAACGCTGGAGATACATACAAACTGGCAGACCTGCACCACACAGGAGGGCATTTGTACGCTACAACTGCTCATGTTAGTGCCTTGAAGCGTTTTTCTGAAAAGGATGAACAATCAGAGGAGAGTGACGCTGAACAGGATGGGACAGTGAGTACTGACCAAGAAGTTGAACAGGACACAGAGGTGCAACATCTAGGAACCCAGACTCCAACCCCTGATGAAGAAACACCAACGCGACCAAAGCGAGTCCGCAAGAGACCAGCTCATCTAAGGGATTATATTTAGTTAATTAAACCTACTTAACAAATATATCCTGTATATTTTTTTTTTTTTTTTATTATTAAAAACATGTTCTTTTTTTTTATATATATCTTATGTTAATATGTTAAACTAATATTTTAAACTATGTTAAATAATTAGTGATAGCTAACGAAAGTTGGGCCGGGGCGTCCAACAAAGTCGGATGGCCGAATGTTATAAATTATGTAGAGGGTGGACACACTGATTTCCCCCCAATAAATCCAAGTGGGTACTCTCACAACAATTGTAGTAGTAGTAGCCAACGGGCAGTGTAAGACGCAGTACGTCTGTGTAGGTTAAAAACTGTTGTAATTAATAGTGAACTGTTGTTTTTTAATGTACTGTTACTCAAAAAGTCAATGATAAATAAAGTGTTTAAACAAACGTATTAAACGTGTTGTGTTCGTTCTTTTCAATCCGACAGTGATCTTTAACAGGTAATTTATTTAGTAAAAATTAAATAATAATTACTAGAGGTTGACTGAATACAAAATGTCTATTAACAAATAATAGGGATAATTTAAACTATTTTTTTTTTATATTTGCAGATTGGGCCGAGCAAGAAGATGCATAGAAAATTGCTTTGGAATATTTTTATCAAGGTGGCGTATATACAGAAGAGTAATTATTGCTTCTGAGCCAACTGTGATGAGTATCATCAAAGCAACAGTGGTTCTTCATAATTTAATTAAAAAAATAGAACTGAGTCAGGTAATACAATATTTTCGATTGTCTAATGTATACCAAAATTGTATACATGGTTACCCTTTACATGCGCTTCATTTCTTTTTATAATGAAAATCATTTTTATTTTATAGGTTTATACACATATTACTCCCCTACATGTTTTGGTGAAACTGGAAAAATTGCAAACCGAAATTCTGCCGGTTTAGTTCCTGTGGGTCCAATGGGAACAAATTTTTACGACCGAAATTCAAAAGAAATTAGGTCAAAATTAACAGATTACTTTGCCGCAGAAGGTAGTGTTCCATTTCAGTATGACAATATATAATTCAATTTTGTTAAAAGTAATAACTATTGATCACAAGTAAATATATGTCATTACAATAATAAAAAAAACAATGCTTACTTATTAACATAATATTAATAAAATTAAATAATAAAATAAAAAAGTTTCCTTTTCACAGAACTTTAGAATAATAAAAAATAAAAATTGTGAGTATCAAACAATTAGTTATCGATTTGATCAATGACAATAGCAATCAATTGTCCTCGAAGAATTCTTTTTTTCTTTTTTGGTAAGTCTGACATCAAGGTTGCCAAATATGAACTGAACTTGGTGTCATCATTGGACTCTGGCTCAATTAATACAGGCTCCAATGGGTTAATAGGTCTACTCTGCTTTAGTTCTTCCATAATCATTCCCATTTGACTTTCCATAACAGACCCTGTTGAAAATAAACATACATTTTGTAGTGATTAAAAATAAATATTGTAGTGTATAGAAATACATATTTCGATTAACATAATATCATAAATAACAATAATATGTAACGGTTTTATACGGTGAGAAGAAATATTAATATATCGCACACTTGACATACGACATTCTATAAAAAAATATATAATAATAATATAAGCAGCCTTATAAAAAATATTATCAATATTTGTGTTCAACGTTTTGAAGTGTGTTAAATAGAATGCTTCAGTCATAACTCGTAAGTGTAACGTACAATAATTTATTATGGTCTACTATACAAGCAGCTATGGTGTATACCTTATATCAATAACCTACATACTATTATAATATTGCACGTAAGTATATTATCTCATACGAGAAGCACGTACAAGCTACGTGTTACTACTACAACACCAATTATGTCACAAAGACAATAATATAATATTCGACTATAATAGCTGTGTGTCGTTATTTTAAATATTTCCGTCGTATCACGAGAATAAAAGCTATTTATTATATTATTAATATCATATTAAAGAGGACACTTGCATTTGTTGTCAAGCGTACAACATAGGTATAACCAATTTTCGTACAGCAGATAGAATTTTATAGCGGTGACTTGAATATTGTAAAAAAAAGCAGTTACTGAAACTTAGAGGTAAGAATAGATCTATATCCATGTATTTGCTTTTGTTTTTACTTTTTTACGATATTTCAAATATCAAGCCAGAATTTCGCTTTTTGAACCAATAATTGTTAAAATCAAAAAACAAAAAAGGTGCTCTGCTGTACAGTAGGTTACAAGTAGGTCACTGTATAATGGATGATATTAAATTTGAATTCAATGATATAATATCATTATATAAGAAAAACGATTCTGAGCGGAGATGGTATGTGAGTCTAGGTAGGTATAAGGCATATTATATACTTATCTATGGTATTAAAAAAATTGACCTATTATAGGTACCTATAGGCTATAATAAATTCCAAATTAATCATATCACAATAACCATTGGGTACTTATAACGCGTTATACATCAACAACAAACCCTGATACTATCATAGATATTTACTATTGTACTTTAGAAATTTCAAGTACCTACGAATAATATTATACTATCACAACGAAATAACTAAAATATTGTTATTCTAGGTTTTTTTTATGTAATTTCATCCAAATTTGAACTTAAAATGACTATAAAAATGAATGTATTTTTTAGATTTTTTGGTAACAGAATAACTACTTAAGTGGAATCTTGTTTTAAATTTTCAATCCTTAGATATAAAAGTTGAACATTTTATAAATTTTTAACCGCAAAATAATTATTCAATTTTAAATTTGATAAATTTTGTCAAAATTCGATCTTTAAAGTTTAAATGCTTTAAAAAAAATTGTGCTTATGTATTTTAAAAATTTTCAACTGATATTGTAACAATATATCAGGAGCCTTGTATTAAATTTTTACACTTTTTGGCCCAACAGATAAGACTTAATTGATATTTATAGAAAAAAAAACTAAAATAATTGAAAACTGAAAATGTCCGTAAACAGCTCAAAAAGAGTCAAAATATTTTTTAAATTTTATGTTGTATAGAAATGCTAATTTAAACATTCAGTGAAATTTTCATGTATCTACAGTCATTCGTTTTTGAATTACAACAAAATAAGGAAGAAATGAGAAAACATGAGAAATCGAGTGAATATCCAATATTTTAAGAATTTGAATTTCAAACGCTCATAAAAATGTAATTTGACTTTCTTGTAGACATTTATTTCTTGACAAAGGTAGATAATCATATAAGGAATCTTGTATCACATTTTAAAATCTTAGATTTAAAAAGAAAAATGTTTACGAATTCTTAACTCAAAATAATTTTCTAATTTTCGTGATTTTTCCATATTTTGTCAATTTTTGGACTTTAAATGCTTATAAAAAAAAACTGTGATTAAGGAATTTTAATATTTTTTACCTGCCTTTGAAACAATATACTAGATGCCCTCTATTAAATGTTCAAGCTTTTTTAACCAACTAATAAATTTTAATTGATATTCATAAAAAAAAAACTAATAAAATTGGAAACTGAAAATGTCCCTAAACAGTTCAAAATAAATTAAAATACTTTGAAACTTGAATTCAATAATATAATATAATTTACTTATGAATAGGCGCCCATATATATATATATACAATTATAATTATTAATTTATGACTTTTTGCAAGAACATTAATGAGGCTATGAGAGCAAGAGTGGCCTAACCCATTAGCTTGCGTAATTGAGTTAAATGCGTTTTATTTTTACGTGTATTTTGAATGATTTTTTTTTCATAAAATTATGGTATTGTTTCGAAGTGTGATTAACAGTTAACAACTATAATTAGTTTTTTTTGTATTCAGACACTTAACGAGCAAATTTTTGAAAAATAAAGATAGAAAATGTTGGTTAGGCCACTCTTGCAGTATAGCATCGGTGGACTGGCTGATTGTTATGTCGTAATATGACGTAGGTAATTAGGTTAATATTAGGTTGAATATTAACTCACAACTAATAAATAAAGAAGTAAAAAAATTTTAAAAAAAAGTTATTAAAATACCCAAGTTGAAATTTAAAAGAAAACTTTACTTTGAAAAAAATAAAATGTTTAAAAATACATAAATCACAGTCTCGTGGTAGGTATATTATAAGTAAAATAAAATTATAATGAAAACTTCAATGAAAAACCTACGTTAACATTTACAATAAATCTTTTCTTTAAAAACAATACAAATTTTTAAAATATAAATAATATAAAGTAAAATAAAATTATAATGAAAACTTCAATGAAAAACCTACGTCAAAATTTAAAATAAATCTTTTCTTTAAAAACAATACAAATTTTTAAAATATAAATAATATAAAGTAAAATAAAATTATAATGAAAACTTCAATGAAAACCCTACGTTAAAATTTAAAATAAATCTTTTCTTTAAAAACAATATAAATTTTTTAAATATAATAAGTATAAAGTAAAATAAAATTATAATGAAAACTCCTACACATAATTTTTTAAATATATTCAAAAAATTAAAAAATTAAATAACAGTTTAAAATTTTAGGAACTTTGTAAAAAGTCTAAATGAAAGAAATTTTTCTCACTCGTTTTCTTCTTGAGTACGTATAAAAACTTCATTTGTTACCTCATGCGAAGTTTTGAGGCTTTCAAAAAAGTCATGGTGTACAGGAGGGACGTAAGCCATAAGGTCTAGAAGGTCCTTTTTCTTCTCTACACTTATGCAATTACCGGTTGGGTGTAAAAGTTCTAAGTTGTTTATTAAATGAGACGTTCTTTTTTTTAAGTCTAGCTCGTCAAAGTCTATCTCCTCTTGGTTTGTATATTTATATTTCAAACTGAACGGCTGAGAGCTCTCAAATCTAAGCCACTGAATTTTAAGCCATTCGACTTTATCTTTAGCTTTAGACATTTTCCTCCTTGTTATATTATTTTCCAAAATTTTAGATGAAAAAAAATCATGTGTATTCATTTCAACAACTTTAAATGGTTTTTTCTTTCGTGCACTTGTTATTACGTTTTTCCAGTCATCAGGAACGTAAATGTTTGGATAGAATTTTTTTGCTTTTTCGATCAATCCAAAGTCTTGGTCACATGGGAGGTAGGAATGTCCACTACATAAAAATGTATGGTCAATTTGTGATACTTTGAATTCTGGACTTGTTGTTATATAGTTGCACATTAATGAAAGCTTAATGTTTCTATTTTGCCCACCACACTGGTCCGAGTACATGATAAGATTTTCAGTTTCAACAAAATTTTTTATATAGTGCATTAGGCATGAACCGACTTCCTGTGAGCCTCTAGATGCGATCGACTTGTTCCAAACATACATCGCTGCCTCCTGTGTCGCGAGGTTGTGTATCCCAAAGCAGTAAGTCCACAGTTGACGCTTGTAATAGCACACTCCTGTGGACAAAACTGGTGTCGGGAGGGTTTTCTTTAAATCAAACGCAATAACTGTTAAGTTCGAGTTATCGTTTTTGGCCAGTTCTGCATCCTCACGCATTTTTTGTCTGGCACTTTCAGCCTTCCTCTGATGCAATTCTCTCGCTGTTTCAATCTCTCGTTTTTCTATGTCGTTAGTGCAGGCCATAATGTTAACTTTAAAAGCATCACACTTTCTACAGGAGTCCGAAATTGGAGCATGAAAATGTAAATTGAAATTTTCATTGAAAATTTTCCTAAACATATTGAGTGAAACAGCGTCATTTACTTTCTCATCCTTGTACAGATTATACATAATTCCTACACTGAGATCTGGCGAAAGGTACAGCCTATTTAGACTTTTATGCCTCGCATAATGACTCTCATATTTAGGAAATCGATGTATAAAATCTTTTACTCCGTTTACTTTAATAACTGACGTTTTGTTTTTAGAAGTTTTGCGACCCCTTTTATCTTTTGGAGGAGTTTCTCCTTTAGGCTTGTTTACTAAAGCTCTTGATATCCTACCATCCGATACACTAAGGGTATTTTTAAAAAATATTTTACAAACTTGTTTCTGATTTCCCGAAATGTCAGGAAGATGATAATACCTTGACTTATTTCTTCGAGACTCAATACTTGTAGAGTAACATTTTTTTTGTCACTAACACTAATAAGTTCGCATAAATATGAAGTTTGTAAATCAAAATTACCTATTTTATAATAACCATCAAAAATCTTTTTTTGTTGATCCTCGCTAAATTTTTGGTAGCAAAGATCATGGCAGCATTTGTCAATGAGTTGATGGGTTTTTTTATTGACCAACACGTTTTTTGAATTTAAATAAACCAGTCCTATATTTCGATTTTTTTTTCTGACATTACGTGCCCAGTTCTCCTCATGACGTACCGTTTTTCTGCATTTTAATGAAACGGAGGTTGTTGAAACCTCTGCAGAATTTTCTGCTTCTAAAACTTCAAATCCGTCCATAAACTCAGCATTTAC